GTGGCTCTCCTCTGGACCCACTCCAACAGGTCCCTGTCTTTCCTGTGCTGAGGACTCCAGATGTGGACACAGTACACATGTAGTACAGCCTGTAGATGAGCTACTGAGCTATCAGTTGCACAACGGCATTTTTCTGAATAACTGAACTTAATGAAATTTCAATGAAAAAAAAAAGTGTTCTAAATATAAAAAACAGAATTTATAAAAAAATATAAAATAAGGCTTCTGTATTTCAGCATTTTAGTCTAATGCATTTGTGTTTCTGGCTTTATATTCTATACATTTTGCTACTGATCCTCATAATTAACCAAAAATTTTGTCACCTTGCTGGGGAGAGTGTCTTTAAAAAGTGTTGCTCATCAAAAGACTATGCAAAAACATCTATATTCGTTTTTGAAGTTTATTTCTAGGGTTCCTGCCTGAACAAAGAATCCTCAAAGATAAGAAAAAAGTGACCTCTAACTTCACAGTCGCAGAGGGAATTCAGGAATAAGTCGGTATCTTTGGGAATATTAAAAAAGATGACATAGCTAGTTTATTTCCTTCTTTCCTTCTTTTTTCACTTGCTTTACTTCATTTTTGTTTGCTTAGATGTTTGAACTCATGTTATTACATGCTTAACTGATATCCATAGAATTCCTTGATGTGTTGCTTTGCCTCTTCAGCAGGTCAGCCTACAGAATTTTTGGTTTAATAGTTTTAGGTGAAGACACTACCAGAGAAGATGCCATGTTTTAGAGACAAAGGCGCTGTTTGGAATCTACTGTACATTTTGCGTAGGAAGCTTCTGGATGGCCCTAAGGAAGAGGGTAAAGAGATATAGGAGATTCTGCTTTTGCTTTAGTTTTCCTTTTTGATACATAGAAGATGGAAATAGTCCCTTTTGGCTATTACAGTAACTCAAACACATATTTTATTTTAACTATTGTGGCTCTAGGCTCTGGAGCAATGTTAAGTCCTGGCAGTCTTTCCACTGACATCTGCATGGGGATATCTATACATGAATATAATAGCTGGCTGCTATTATAGGAGACACTACAAATTAATTTATTAGGAGACACTACAAATGAAGACACTATGCTCTTAAGTGCAAAAGAAAAGAAAAAAAAATAGTTTTACAGATGTGCATGTTAAAATAACCAAAATATTTTCTCTGCCTTGCTTAGCTTCCTCATCCTGCTGCCATATGGCGCTAAGAATTTTCCATCTTAGTATTTAAAGACCATTTTCTAAAAGGAATGACTAGATAATTTGGTAGTTTCTTAATAAGCAGGATAAATAAAGTTTATTATTATTTAAAAATAAAACATGAAGCCAATTACTTCTTCCTTGTTAAGTTCACTACAAAAAAAGCCAGTGGAAAAAGATGTACGTTAGAGATTATTTTATACTCAATGACCAGCTGTTTTAAATTTGGATATTAAGTAATTCACTCTTTTCTGTGTGCAAGAGCTGAATGATTAAGTAAATTCCCATATGCCCCAACCTGTGCCAGCTATACTAGGTTATCGAAAATCCAGCTGCTGTTATGATAATAGCTGCCAATGCTAAAACTACTGATGAGAATAATGAATCAGCTTCAAGTCAACTAAAACATAAACTGACATGGTTCCCACCGGGGATACATGGGAATACAATATATCTGTTAATTAAAAACTAATGCTGACCCATAGTCACATAAAAATTAAGTGCCAAGAATTCATGTGCATTGTTTAGGGTGGAAAAATAATGCCTAGTCAAACTGTATGGAGACAAGCAGCTCCATTTCCATCCGTAGTCTTTGACACACAGGAATGTCCTATGAACAACACAGAGTTTGCAGAATAGATTTCATTCTATTGCAGTTTGCTTTTCTTTCTTACATATTGTAGTTGCCATGTGGCTCTTGCATGACATATTTTACATAGCTAGACTGCTACATTTTGAAATTATAATGAAAAATTTATTATAAAAATGCTTATGCAAATGTGATTCTTTCATGTACAAGTATTTTAATGCATTTTAAGCTTCAGCATTACAACTCCACCACCCTTAATTCAGCAAAATAAGCACACAAGCAACAACAACAAAAAAAGCAGAAAAAGAGAGGAAGTAGCTAAAAAAGGTGACCGAAATAATTCTCCAGACAGCTATTTTTAGGGCAATTGGTGCAGAAATGCCCATCCAAGTATGTCAGTATTAAATTTTAAAAGCTAAGACTTCCTTGATATAAAATTATTACTTGTAGTTACAAGAGCTTTGCAAGTGAATTTAACTTTCATCTCCAGGCCAGCATAAGTAAACAACACATTAGTATACACACATTTATTTGTCATAATGAACTCTGTTGCTAAGAGAAATAATTTTGAAATTATCCTAGAAATTGCAAGTGTCATAAGCTAGATTAGAGTATGACTTTATTTTATTTTAAAAGTAACCAACTCATTCACATTTGCTGGAGCTGGATCATCTCCAGCACACAAAGTATACATCGCTCAAAAGCCACATTAAAAAAATCTTCAATAACTTTACTTCAAGCAGTCTATATATAGTACTTTAAGCATAAAACCCCCCAATAATTAAGAATGTATTATTTGAAAAAGATTAGGTATATATTGACAAATTAAAAGGATGTCATGCAGAGACTTAAGATGCTTATAAAAGCTCAAGCAAAGGAGCAAACCACATCAAGGGGCTTACCGAAAACTCAAAGATTTTGAAATCTTAAAGCAACTGATTTTTTTCATACCTTAATTATGAAGTTGCAAGTAATTGTGTTTTCAGCCACATGTTCTTGACATTGCAAAAAAACCAACACTGTTATTTTATCAAATATTAGGAGACTTACTTTTCTTTAAGAAAATCCACTACTTGTTTGAAGTCTGCAATGCAGTATTCTCTTTTCATGTCCATGAGCACACTGTCAGAGGCTGACTGGACTGGTATGTGCAGAAAAGCATATACTCTTGGATGATTGAGAATCTTTGCCATTTCCTAAGAGTAATTAGAAAAGAAAAGGAGTTTTAAAGCATGATGAAAACAACATACAAAACTCCTTTATATTAATATATCACAGAATCACAGAATGTTAGGGGTTGGAAGAGACCTCTGGGGATGATCTAGCCCAACACCTTTACTAAAGTAGGTTCAGCCAGAGCAGGTTGCACAGGATCAAATCCAGGCAGGTTCTGAATGTTCCCAGAGAGGGAGACTCCACAACTGCTCTGGGCAGCCTGTTTCAGTGCTTTGCGACCCTCACAGTGAAAACATTTTTTCTCATCTGCAGATGGAGCTTCCTGTGTTCCAGCTTATGCCCACTGCCCCTTGTCCTGTCACTGGGCAGCACTGAAAGGAGTCTGGCACCATTCTCTTGATACCTACCCCTTCAGATATTTATAAGCCCTATAAGATCCTGCACCATTCTCTTGATACCTACCCCTTCAGATATTTATAAGCCCTCATAAGATCCTCTCTCAGTATCCTCTCCTCCAGGCTAAGTATGGGGTAAGTATCAGTAGTAATACTTCAGAAATCCAAACAATACTGAGTTGCAGGATCCAAGTTTGAAAGAGTAAGGGCAGATGAAAATATCTGGAAGCCATTTTGCTTTTAAATAAAATAAGAAGAAAGTTATGGCACTGCACTGCCCTACATAGTGCTATGCAATTAAGATAAAATTTTGGAGGCATTTAGAGGTTTAGTATTGTGAAAGTTGATGTTTTCAGACAGTGGCTGTTTTAAATTCCAGAAGATGGAAAGGGTTAGATGCTTTCTTGTCAGAGTCAAGTTCTCCGATACACACTATGACAATGTCTCTAACTAGAGTATCCTTAAAGTTGGCCATTTGGTAAAGAAGGTATATCTACAAATATATACCTTAATTTGCATTAAGGCCATTTGCAAACCTTGTGCAACACTGATCTGAAATATGTTACCTGTGATATTTCAGAGATGAGACTCCAGGACTTAAAGGTGTTTGGCTATAAAATGCTTAGAATTCAGCAGAGGTTGAAAAGAGAGATGTTACAAATACAACAGTTTGCTTTTCTTTCTTACATATTGTAGTTGCCATGTGGCTCTTGCATGACATATTTTACATAGCTAGACTGCTACATTTTGAAATTATAATGAAAAATTTATTATAAAAATGCTTATGCAAATGTGATTCTTTCATGTACAAGTATTTTAATGCATTTTAAGCTTCAGCATTACAACTCCACCACCCTTAATTCAGCAAAATAAGCACACAAGCAACAACAACAAAAAAAGCAGAAAAAGAGAGGAAGTAGCTAAAAAAGGTGACCGAAATAATTCTCCAGACAGCTATTTTTAGGGCAATTGGTGCAGAAATGCCCATCCAAGTATGTCAGTATTAAATTTTAAAAGCTAAGACTTCCTTGATATAAAATTATTACTTGTAGTTACAAGAGCTTTGCAAGTGAATTTAACTTTCATCTCCAGGCCAGCATAAGTAAACAACACATTAGTATACACACATTTATTTGTCATAATGAACTCTGTTGCTAAGAGAAATAATTTTGAAATTATCCTAGAAATTGCAAGTGTCATAAGCTAGATTAGAGTATGACTTTATTTTATTTTAAAAGTAACCAACTCATTCACATTTGCTGGAGCTGGATCATCTCCAGCACACAAAGTATACATCGCTCAAAAGCCACATTAAAAAAATCTTCAATAACTTTACTTCAAGCAGTCTATATATAGTACTTTAAGCATAAAAACCCCCAATAATTAAGAATGTATTATTTGAAAAAGATTAGGTATATATTGACAAATTAAAAGGATGTCATGCAGAGACTTAAGATGCTTATAAAAGCTCAAGCAAAGGAGCAAACCACATCAAGGGGCTTACCGAAAACTCAAAGATTTTGAAATCTTAAAGCAACTGATTTTTTTCATACCTTAATTATGAAGTTGCAAGTAATTGTGTTTTCAGCCACATGTTCTTGACATTGCAAAAAAACCAACACTGTTATTTTATCAAATATTAGGAGACTTACTTTTCTTTAAGAAAATCCACTACTTGTTTGAAGTCTGCAATGCAGTATTCTCTTTTCATGTCCATGAGCACACTGTCAGAGGCTGACTGGACTGGTATGTGCAGAAAAGCATATACTCTTGGATGATTGAGAATCTTTGCCATTTCCTAAGAGTAATTAGAAAAGAAAAGGAGTTTTAAAGCATGATGAAAACAACATACAAAACTCCTTTATATTAATATATCACAGAATCACAGAATGTTAGGGGTTGGAAGAGACCTCTGGGGATGATCTAGCCCAACACCTTTACTAAAGTAGGTTCAGCCAGAGCAGGTTGCACAGGATCAAATCCAGGCAGGTTCTGAATGTTCCCAGAGAGGGAGACTCCACAACTGCTCTGGGCAGCCTGTTTCAGTGCTTTGCGACCCTCACAGTGAAAACATTTTTTCTCATCTGCAGATGGAGCTTCCTGTGTTCCAGCTTATGCCCACTGCCCCTTGTCCTGTCACTGGGCAGCACTGAAAGGAGTCTGGCACCATTCTCTTGATACCTACCCCTTCAGATATTTATAAGCCCTCATAAGATCCTCTCTCAGTATCCTCTCCTCCAGGCTAAGTATGGGGTAAGTATCAGTAGTAATACTTCAGAAATCCAAACAATACTGAGTTGCAGGATCCCAGTTTGAAAGAGTAAGGGCAGATGAAAATATCTGGAAGCCATTTTGCTTTTAAATAAAATAAGAAGAAAGTTATGGCACTGCACTGCCCTACATAGTGCTATGCAATTAAGATAAAATTTTGGAGGCATTTAGAGGTTTAGTATTGTGAAAGTTGATGTTTTCAGACAGTGGCTGTTTTAAATTTCAGAAGATGGAAAGGGTTAGATGCTTTCTTGTCAGAGTCAAGTTCTCCGATACACATTATGACAATGTCTCTAACTAGAGTATCCTTAAAGTTGGCCATTTGGTAAAGAAGGTATATCTACAAATATATACCTTAATTTGCATTAAGGCCATTTGCAAACCTTGTGCAACACTGATCTGAAATATGTTACCTGTGATATTTCAGAGATGAGACTCCAGGACTTAAAGGTGTTTGGCTATAAAATGCTTAGAATTCAGCAGAGGTTGAAAAGAGAGATGTTACAAATACAAAAGGTCAGAAAGAAAACAAAGTAAAGGTAACAGCAAAATGCAAACAAGCAAAGACAAATCAGATCCCTGATTGAGGCTTGGCAGGGTGATGGAACATGAGATGAAGAATAGAATATGGCAGTCCTATTTATTTCATTTTTATTATTTACACAATTAAGGCCATGCACTCTAGCAAGAAAGTTTAAGCATTTTAAAAATTGAGACAAAACAGCACCTTGGTTGTGTGCAATACGATATAATACTGCCTGTTAATCCCTAACTTGCAAAAACTAAGTGCATTTGGACAAAGAAGCATATGACACACAACCAGGTTTTCACCTAGGGTTTGCCCTTTCTTCCTATGAAGTGAGTACACAGGACACAGGCTGGGACCAAGTGCTGCACTGCCTGCTCCTCTGCCATGCGCAGTCAGGCTCACTCAGACCATTTTCCCTCTTTTCTTTGACAGGATAGATTTTTCTTCTGACAACACATACTGCTGCCAGATTTAGCTAAGTTCAACTACTTACAGATTCTTTCCAGATCATTAATCAGCAATATTAATCATACATCTATATTTTCTCTCTGTATTTCTACAAGGTTGGCCTCGATTGTTCAAGGAGAAGGTAAACACCCTCGTGCCTTTTAAGGGTAACTTTCAGGCACCTGTCTCTTAAAAGCACTGATTTTTAGAGGAAGAAGAAAACCACTCTCTAAACACACATCTTTCATCTAACAAACAAATGCATACAAAACCTGAACTCTCTCTATTTTTTAAGTAGTTTTGAAAGTTTCTAAGATCCTATTACATAAATGACTAAAAGAAATGGTTACTGTATTCTGTGGAATATCTACTCTATCTCAGGTATGTAAACTAAACATTACAGCAATAACTATGCTGATAATAGAGGGCATACAATTTGATGCACAGCTAGGCTGTTTGCAGTGAAACTGGCTCTCAGTGCAAGCTGGAGGTAGCTGGATTAATGAAGAAAAGAGTAAAAAAATGGCCACCATGCATCCATACACATTTGATATCTCCATTTCAAATGGAACCATTTGACTACACCTTTAATAATCTTAAGATGTTCAGCTAAAATATATTTTCAATAAGAAATGGCATAGAAAAAATTCTGTAAAAAAAACAAAAACAAAATGACAAAATTTTTCCTTCTCTTTCAGGCTTTAGAAAATATGGTAAATGTAGCTTTTATGGAGCATCCTAGTAGTCATCTGTGATTTTTTTGCTTATCAGTAATAAGTTTTGATAATACATGAAATGGCAAAAGGGCTGGAAGCTAAGCTATGTACCACAAGCCTACTATTCTACTTATCTTTAGAAAATAAATTGCTTGCCATACATATCAGAAATGCATGTTCTAGACACGTTACGTATCTTGAAATCCTAATACAGCCTAGCTGTTGTGGTCACAGGTTTCAGCTATGTTCTGAACATTCAAAGATCCTTCTAGAGAAGAAGAGGCCACAACAACTTTCTACTGTGAAGTCCTTTCTTTGCTTACTTTCTATACACAAAACACATTCCATGTCCTTTAAGCACTCAAGTCCTATTGAGTATATTCCTCTATTTTCAGGCACAGATCTGAATCAAAGGCCCTAATGATAAATGGATTTCCCACCAGTACTTCAGGATCATAACTATTAACTTGGTGAATTTAGCAGAACACAAACCAAGCACAAAGCAGAAATACCTGATGACCCACTCTTTCTTTGTCATTGGCTTTTAAATACCACCGGTGTTCCTGAATTTACCTTGGAGCAAATAGTTCAGAACGAATCACAATAATGAACTAAACAAAAGTTTAGCATGATTACATCAGAAATCTGGATAAAACAATCTTTCAAATTTTCTCAGCATTCAGATATAAATACCACATTATAAAGCAGAGCTTTAAAGTATAATTGTTCCAGTCTTGCTTTTGGTCCCCCCTACACCTAACTACACTGAAGTACTTACCCACATAGGTTTGATTAAATCACAACTAGGTGCTGAACACGCATATTTAGTTAATACCGACAGATTTTCCCACACCACAGATTTTACAGAGCATACTAGATTTCATCACTTAATAAAACCATCAGTTAATATCCCAGAGAGAACTTGAAGCACATCATGGGCTAATGCATAATTGTACTGTATAGTGTATCAACACTCTAAGCTTAACATCTGTTTCCTGTTGGTTTGTATTTTTTTTAAATTTCTTTTTATTTTTTTACCAAGTGCTTTACATTACTAGATATAATTACGTATTTCAGTTAGAAGGAAAAATGCAATATAGAATTTTATTTCCATCTGGAAACAATAAAGGAAGAACTTTTTCAAATTATACAACTGTGAAAGAAAATTTCTGTCTTTAATCACAACTGAAACAGCTGATTGCCTTTTCCCCCCCTATCCCTTGGAATCTAACAATATGTCTATGAACAAAGAGAATAATTACATTAAAATGAAAGTTACATTGCATGTAGGAACAAAGGTCAAAAAGTAGCACAATTTGTTTTAAGCTGCCTTTAAAAAAAATAAGTAACCTACATTTGGAATCTAATAATATATATGTGAAATATCCTTTAGGACATTGATCATACTGGAAATACTTTTTTCCAATTCTTAGCAGCTGGAGTACATCAGAAAAGAAGGCACATTGCCAGAAAGATTATATACATTATTGCAGCAATTATAATACACAAATTTAACCAGCTAACCAGAAAATCAATCCCTCTGTTTGCAATGATACCACATGCAACCATAGAGAATCACACAGACAATAAATGTCAGTATCTGTGCATCTTTATGTCAGTACCAACAAGCTGTTCAGACAGCAATTCTTTCCCCTAACGTAAAGTAGGCAAAAATCCAGGACTGAATTCTGAATAGCTTGCTCCCTAGCAAAAGGATTTTGTCCTCTGCCAGCAGTGAAGCCCAAAGAAACTCCAATCCATATGGAAACATGACAAAATGGCACTCCCTCAAAAATTCTTCCCCTTGTGGCAGATGTTAGTTTGGGATATGACATGAGGAGTGTCTGCTGACTGTTGCCTTTCAGAAGCCCAGTGGTGCCACCACCAGCATGGTCTGGATGAAAACCAAGTGGCTGTGGTCCATTTTATAAATTCCTCTGCTGTAGTACAGTTCAGGAACAGATGTGATCTAGTGATGCAGGCATGGCAATGATGACACAGTATGATCAAGTCTGGAAGGCCCATAACAGTTTTGTTAAAACTAATGATCAGGGAACCTTCACCCTGTTCCCATCCCTTGTGAGTAACTGGGCTGTAAAATCCTAAGAACATGTAGGATGTATAATTGCACACCTCCCCAGGGACACTGGTTGGAAGGCAGTGGCTTCCTCCCATCTGTATATGAAGTGGGGGGGATGTAATGAAGCCGTATGATGGCTAAGCTTAGTGGCAACCCCTACCCCATGTAATATAACATGACTTATGCTCAGGTCTTCATCATACCATTAGGATAAAGGGAAGTCACACTGGAACAATTAGAAGCCCACACAATTCTGACCAATGTAATTTGAACCTTACAATCAAATCTTAGGGTTGCCAGATGGAGGGCAAAAATCTGTTTTGTCATATGGGAAAAATGCCTTCCACATTACCAAACAAAAACCGGGTATTAACTCAGGCCACCCTTAGAAATGGATATAAACCAGACTGCAAGCCATGATTTGCTGATAGGAGAATGAGCCATATGCTCAGCCTTAGCTGTTCCCAGCTGTTCTCCTAGGTGTGGGATCTCTCTGTTGCTTCCAACCTCATAAAATACACAAAACCCAAGCTAGCTAAGCATTTTTTTTCTCCCTTGTGGCTACATATGAAGCTTAATCTCTTAAAAACTAAACCAAGCAAAACAAAAATCATTTACATGCCTTCAAAAACTTGCCACTTCTTTTATTAACAATGAACAGAGGCTAACAGTTCTTTCAAATAAGTCACTTTCACGTAATACTGTAATACAATCCTGTATTTCATAGTTCAAAGTTTCAGCAGAGGCTTGTTGCA